AAAAAAAAAAAAAAAAAAAAATCAAATAAAAGAGGCAAGTCAAAGTCAGTGAGACTTGGGGCAGGGACTGTGGAGCCACTATGCTGTTTCCTGTCTCTGTGTTTGTACATACTGTTTTCTCTGGCTCCAGCGCCTTCTTGTCTCCTCCATCTAGACAAATCTAACTCAGCTCAGTGCTTACTTTCTCCAGGAAACCCTGCCCACCTCCACTCAAGGTAAGGCTCTGCAGACCCCCCCTTTCTGTCCTCCAGAGCACTCCATGTGCACACTATTACGGTGCCACACCCATAGAAATTAACTGCTGCCCCTTCCGTCTAGCCTATCTCTCATAAAGATACACAAAATGATTAACATGTTCCCATTGGCTTGTACCACTGGTGGTACATGCATGATTGTTCTATCGGTTGGTTTGTACTACCTGCTGGAAATGTCCCATGCCACCCACTGGGACAGTTATACATGTACTTCTTGTGGTTCCGAGCTGCAAGGCAGTGAGACATATGAATTATGGCCCCGTTATGAACATGTTAATAGGGGGCTGTCTCACCTGACTGCCAAGACTGGGACTTAATGCACAGAGCATTTCAGCGGTCTCTAGAGTCATTTTGTGTGGGAATGATGATACAGAGTGGGCCCACCCAGCCTCTCTGTGCTTACCTCATGTGTCTGTGGATTCTCAACAATGCAGCCGTAGTTGAGAGATTGTGTTCTGTTAGCCTGAAAGACAGGCATACTGGAGACGGTGACCTGCCTGCTCCCAGGCAGTAGGGCTGTTTGCTCATTCTCCTTTCCATCCCCTGTAGCACCTGGCACGCAGCAGCTCCACTGCTGACAGCCCTTCAGCAGGGGCGAGAGCTGACAGCTGCCCTCCCCCTCCCTACTTCTGAGCAGCCAAAGGGCTCAGGGTCACCAGTGACACCTCCATCACTGCTGGGGCAGTACATCTTCCTCCTGACACACATTCCCACTCCAACTCCCTAGGCTACCTCTGCTTCCCCAACACTCTCCTGGCCTACTGGGCCCTCACCGTGGTGCCAAGGAGTAAGAAAGGGTGGCGCTGGCTTCTGTGAGCATCCAGCATAGCGCTCAAGGGGAAGTCGGAGCAGACGTCGGCATTGAGCACGAAGAACGCCTCAGGGCCCCCGGCCAGAATCTGGTCCCGAAAATGGTAGAGACCACCACCTGTGCCCAGGGGGGCAAATTCCTGCAAGTACCTAGCCCCAGGGACCCCAGAGGCAGCTCAGTGAAATCTGAAGAGACAGATACCATGCACCACGGAAAGTGATATCTCCTGGCTTCCAGGAGTACTTCCCAAGGCCCACAGAGAAACTCCATCTAATATATCTAGGGATTCAGAGAGGCCCAAATAAGAAGTTTCTAGTGTATGAGGGTGAAATGTGGCAAACACTGATTTAAATCCACTGCGTAGATCTCTGAGGGCCTCCCTCCCCATAAATATATACACAAACACCTGACTGGAAGGTTGAACTCCTGCCGTATGGCTTCTAAGAACTGCATTAGGGCCTCATCAGGTTGGTAGAAGCCAATGAGCAAAATCTCCTGCATCCCAGGGACCTGAAGAGAAGGGAAGAAGTTGGAAGAAAATATATCTGATAAGAAGGAATATTGGGGGAATCCCTGCTGTTGTCCCAGAAGTTCAGAGATAACAGTTTCAGGTTCAGCTGGGGGGCTCTGGGCACTCATTTTACCACTCTGCCCTGATTTCTCCTCTGGACAATGAGGAAGCTAGAGGAAGCCTCAGCTGGATTTTTCAATTTTTTATAGTTCGCGTCCCCATGCCCCATTGGGACTCGCTCTAGGAAAGACTGCCTGCAAATAATCCATTCATCTTTTCCAATTTTCTCTTATCTGTCAGTCTAAGCTTGAGAACAGCTTGAGGCAAGGGTGTCTACATTTAACTTGGCACTTTACAGCATTGCCAATCCCGCAAAGGAAATCTAATCTCTACTTCACAGATAAGGAAACTGAAGCTCAGAGAGGGTATGAGGTTTGCTTGTACCAGGTCTCACAGCAGGCAAACACTGGATTCAAACCAAAACTTGTTTTTCCAAATAGCAAAAGCAATAAAGAAATGAGCTCCATAGTAAGCAAGGGAATGAGTGCTTTGTTATCATTAAGGGTCTCCATGCTATGGCTGTGTTTGTGTGTGTGTGCCTGTGGTGTGTAAAGATAGAACCCAAGGCCTTCATGCTGAGATACATCTTTAGCCCTTTTCATTTCTTATTTTGAGACAGGATTTCCCTAGGTCACTAAATTGCCCAGGGTGGGTTCAAACCTGGGATCTTCCTGCTTCCATTTATCAGATGTGAAAGATAAGGGGTGCGGATTTAACTCAGTGGTTCTGCTGCTTGCCTTGCAAGTGCAAGGTCCAGAGTTTGATCCCTGGTTCCCCCCCCAAAAAAAGACAGACCCCAGACATGCTCCATCTACTGATCTAAATCGTCTCTGAGATGTCTGCCTGATTTTAAAAATAAGCATGAAATCTGAACAGGAAGAGACCAGAAGAGACCAGAGCAGGGGAAACCATCAGGACAGACGCACTGCACATGTTAAGGGGACACCATGCACATCATCATCTATGAATGATGGTCCTTAGGGTTACACTTAATCAGAAGAGATCATGGTTGGGAAAGGGTAAAATAATGCAAGAAGCAGATGAGCAGGGTGATGGGAGAAAGGAGCCTATGGGGTTACCTGGGCACAGGCTTCAATGTGGTGCTGGATCATTGGGACCCCAGCCACAGGAAACAGTGGTTTGGGGACTTCAAAAGACAAAGGCCTGAAGCGAGTTCCTGCGACAGAAGAGAACGTTTCAGCCTCCTGCCTCCCTCTGCTCCCATCCCACCCACCACTCTAGCACCACTCCTTCCCCACTTCCCCAGCTCCTCACCCTTTTGAGGGCCTCCAATCAGGATCACAGCTTTGAGCATGATGATGATGGCTACCCTAAACCTCAAACCCCAACAAAGAAATCAGGCTCAAGTCTCACATCCCAAGCAAACCCTAACTCCCAAATAATCAGGATGTAAACCCAAAGTTCTATAGTGCCTCCCTGGACACCACACCTCACAAATCCCACACATCTCACATCCTAGCAGAGATTCCAGTTGGCCTTCAAATCTCAGATTCCTCAGAGATTCTAACTAAAATCTGCATCTCACAAATTCATTTCTAACAGACTTCCCTTTGGCCAGGAGTACGCTCTGCAAACTCAGAAACTCAGCAGATCCTCTTCTAAGACCCCAAATCTCAGAAGAATTGAAACCTTAAACCTAATGATTCTCAAATTCTAGAAGTATAATCCTGAATTCCACCAGTGAACCAAGAATATGGAACTGCAAACCCTAAGTGGGCCCCAGATATTTAAATTCAATCCTAGGTGTGAACCCCAAGTCATGAAATGACACTGATTTATGTTTGGTGAAACCCCAATCCAGCAAAAACTCAATATGCCATACCTGAATCCTAAAACGAACCTGTACACGCTCAGGCCTGACTCAAAAGACAGGTTCCCTTGGCATCCCACACACTGAACCCACTAAGCCCTGTTATCTCAACAGACTGCTACTAAATTTTTGGGATCGGAGGGCTCACTGATGACCTGAACCCCACAACTGACTGTCCAATAATTCTTAGCTTCTTGTAGTCAGGGGTACAGAACCAACACAGACCCGGACGCACAAAGCGATCCCGCCCTCTGTCCAGGGTCCGTCCCCTGCTCCTGCCCCTCCCGTCACCCCAACAACAGCTCCAGTTACCCCTAGCTCCCTTTACGCCGGCTCAGCTGCCCGCTACTACTTGCTCCTTCCGCACACGTGTCTTCTCGTAACTCGCGAGAATGCTTCGCACGGCCTGCCGGGAATTGTAGTTCTGACAATTCCTCTGCCTTTCTAACTTTTTGAGACCAAGAGATGGAACGATGGAATTCGGGGGCGTTGCCAAAGGATCGGGGTACAGGCCTGAATGAGGGGGGCCCCTGAGCAGCAGAGACTGGAATGTAAGATGGGGACCCGAGTTGTCCCGGAATGGGCGAAAGGGCAGCGGACAAAGTGGAGAAGTAGGTTACTGGGGAAGCGGGACTGGAGACGACTGGAGCGTGATTTGCCTTGGAAGGGGCGGGGCCAGAGCAAGCACAGCCACGAGGGGGCGGGGCTTGAACTAAGCAAAGGAAGGGAGGGCGGAGTCTGGGCTGCAAGTCCAGGCCAGCTGGGAAGAGAACAGGTAGAGAAGGGCCGCTGGAAGTCCAATGGTGAGAGAAATCCTAATTCGGGTTGACTGTAAAATGAAGCATGGAATAGTCGCTCTTCAAACTTCCCTCTGACTCCAACATTCTGTGACCTTGGTCTGTGGGTCTGGAATAAGTGTGGGGGTGGCGGCCGGGAGAGAGAATGCTACGCTGGAGCAAGGACAGAGGAGGAGGGTCGGAGAGAGCAGCTTTATTAAACAAGACCCGGGAGAGACCCACCCCTGGCCTTGAGGTCAGGACGAGAGGTCTGAGGGTTTCTTCAGGCCGCGTCCACGCGCGTGAAGTTCTGGTCCATCCCCAGCCTCTTCACTACACTTCGTACTTGCCGCTGGCCTCGGACATGGCCCCCGATGTGGCCTGGCGAATGGTCAGCGTCGTGGTGGTGGCGGCGCCGATCTCGAAGAACACCCTGGGGAGTAGACAGAGAGGGGCAGGAAGAAGCTGCGGGCCAGCTAATTTGCCAGCTCGTCTTCGCCGTCCTGTCCCCACCCTCGTCCCTCTCCTGTCCCGTTCCCCTACACAGGACCGACGAAGTTCCACCGCAGACCCTGTTCTTGACGCAGGTCCCGACCCTTGCCTGTCGTCTTCCTCGATGACCCCCCCGCCGTCCTTCGTCTAGCCCACGTCGGGCATAGGCTCTCCCCAAGATCTGCGCAGTCAGCCTTACAGTAGTGCCTTTGAGCGCCTTCGTATTGTCTGGTCCTTTTTGAATCTCAGCCGGGACAGGAGGAAGGGGAGGGGAACGCGACACAGTGAAGGTCCTGGAGGTGAAGTGGGACGGCGACATCAACTTCCTAGGTAATATCCGACCCTAAGTACGGGGTGCACTTAAACTCGCAGTGTGACACGGGCAGGCCATGAGCTTCTCTCGTTTTGTTTCCTTGGCTGTTAAACCGACTTTATCACCGCTCCTTCTCTGTGTGGAATAGTGGATCAGAAGAGACTTAGTGGGTGGAAGCCTGGAAATGTCCTTACACCGTGCGCGGCGCCTTGGAGACAGCTGAGTGGTGGAAATTATCCAGGGTTGGGAGGAGCCAAGTAACCCGGCTCTAACCCGGCTCTGCCTCTGGCTGTCTCCATGACCCTTACGACCCCGGAGGATGTACCGTCTACCGGGATGGGCGTGGAGTCGGAGCACGGGCCCAAGGAGTTGGTTACAGTGGTACTGTACTGGCCTAGGTCTGCCATCTCGCCGTCGCGCACCACCAGCGACACTGCGTCAGGGTCCTCAGAAATGTAGCAATACGTCCCGCAGCTCTTTGCCATTCTTTTTTTTTTGGTACCGGGGATCGAACTCAGGTCCTGGCAGGCAGCGGAACCACTGAGCTAAATCCCCGGCCCTCTCTTTGCCATTCTTGCTCCAGCGGATGAACAGTCCGGGAAAGCCGAAATGCGGCCAGTGAGCTTGGTCGCGCTACCTCGATCAGCACCACGTCATTCAGCGGCTCCAGCACCCGCGGCGGCCCCTTCTCGCACGGCTCCTTCAGGGACCTAACCGCAGGCGGGGTCCGGCCCTGAGCTCCGAGACGTGCTCCGACAGGCCTGCAGCCCAGTCCGCCCGCACACCATCTCCTGCCCACCCACCCCTAAACGGGGAAATGGGGGTGGCTAGGAAGGGGGTCTGCCCTGAAGTGTCACTCTGACAAAGTGCCAGTCACTCTTCAGCACCTCGGTAATCTCTCTTCTCTAAGTCCAGCGACCCAGTTGTTCAGGTCACTGTGCTTAGTGTCCCCACCCCCATCCCAAATGCAGGAATGCACCTTCTGCAGCTCTACTTCCTTTCCAGGGCTCCAGGGGTCCCCCTCACCTGTGGCCCAGGTAGGAGGCCAGGATTTGATGGCTTTGCTCTGAACCTGGGGGTCGTTGATATCCAGAGTACATCCTGGAGGTGGGGCTGTCGGTTTTTTGGCAGGAGCTGCTTTGGACATCTGAGGAGTGGACAGCAAACATGGGGTGCAGGCAGAGACAGAAGCTCTGACCTGCCCTTTCCCTGCCTGGCCAGGGGTGGGAATGGCCGAGGCTTCTCAGAGGAATGAACTCACCCTGTGGGGATTGATTTAAGGACCTCAGTCGACTGGCTGCTTTGCAGGCACCACAGAGCCCTTATGGATGGTACAGTTAGGGATACAGGCAGGCAATTGGGCACAGACCCTGGTTTTATACATCGCTAGTGTCCTTCCCTTGTTTGGTACAGTTACCCCCAAGTCCCCCGGGACCCCAGTGCCCACCCTCTGACCCAAGTGGGCTCCTTATATAGCTGGAGGATGCCTGGATTGCTGGCTCAGCCACTGGGGCAAGCCTGAGGGTGGATCTGAGTGGCTGGGATACACTGTGTCAGCACCTGGCCAGCTGGATGCAGCTCCATGCCAAGGTTTATGCCCTACCAAGGCAGGGGGTATCCTTTCTACTCCTGGGAGGACCAGTTCTGGCCCCCTGCCAGCAAGAGACTCAGCTCAGGGCTGCAGCAGCTTTGCACCCAGGTCAACCTCCGTGTAGCCAGGTAGACATGCCCTTCCTTGGACACTGTAGGTTAAGAGGTTATAATGTTCTTGGGGGTGTCCCAGAATGAAGCCAGAGTAACCTCGGACTTCGTGATCCGTACCGCCAGTCACGACATGGTCACACGGCTATCAACACCAGTCCAGAAGCTTTATTCTTCCCCTACGCCCACACTTGCCGCAGAAGTCTGGTTGTCATTTCTGCACTCTGCCCCCTGGTGTTAAATTGAGGTAAACTGGGGCTGGGAGAGATTTTTTGAGAACAGCCGCCCTCCGGTGCCAACCCCACCCATGGCTCCCTTTGATGTGACAGTGTAGTCTGGCTCATCTGAACTGTCCCTGGAGATTAGCACTACTTCTGACTCCCCAAGCCTTGGTCTGCCAAGCCCTTTTGCGGCATCAACCATGGCATAGGGATATCTGACTGCCTGAGGAGAAGGGTGCCCAGGACACCAGTAGGACTGTTGCTTCCATTCATTGTGACTACCCGCCCAGGTGTGGAGCACCATCACCTTTTGATCAGAGCAATTTTGACACAGCTCTGCTGACATAAATTACCTTTGCTCCTCTGGGTTTGGAATAAACGGTTCACATGCCATTTCCAGTGGAGATGGGAAGGCAGCTCCAGATCAGAAGGGCGACAGGAGAGAGGAATTTTACCATTTATCAAGATATGAGTTCAGGCACCTCACTTTTTTATGAAAACATTTGCAGTGTGTAGGGGATTAGAGATTCTCGCAGGCAAACTGTATATCTTCATCCCTAAGATGACAGGTGGGCAAAGTATCTCTCTCATCCCTTCCAACTGGTTTTAACATCCTGTTATTTTATGATGATGAGGGTCACCTCTTCCCTGGGATCCTGGGAAGCCAGAGAGGCTGGGTAGGGCTGGGCAGAGGGTTGTTGGAGCTGAAGCCAAGCGGCCTCAAACTCAGTTGGCAACACACCAGTGCCAACTCTGCTTGTGGTTGGAGGCTTTGTTCCTTTGCATTTGCCAAGAATAGTTTTCTAGGTAGTTGGGGAACCATCCTTTGCCTACAGGGAATCTGACTTTTTCCCTCTCACCTCAGGGCAGGGCAGTTCAGACCTAGGACCCACTGTCTATTCTGTGGCTCTGCAGGGGAGCAACCAGAGCCAGGGTGCCTTAGCACCCAGCAGATCCTTTAACTTGCCCAGGGGGGCATAAGAAGACCCAGGCTGATACGTCCCTCCATCCCAAGAAAATGCTGGACATGGCCACCCAGAGCACCCACAGCTGCCCCATGGGTTGTGATCTGTGCCGTGCCTCCAAGAGCCTGGGGCAAGGGCATCTCTTGGTTTCTTCGGCAGCTCCTCACTCTGCCCCCTCTTGCCAACTGTCAGGAGGAAACTCATCTTTCTTAGGGTGGTGAAGGGCAGGATCAGAGTGAGAGAGGCTGATCCAGGCGTGGGGTGTGGTTTGGTCCATGACAGAGTCCAGCACCTCCAAATATGTGAAGAGGAAGTGTGTGAGCAGAAGTGGGGCTCTGGCCAGAGGGTATGTGGGGACTCAGTGGGTCTGCCAGCATTCGGGGCAAGGAGCAAACTGCAGCCCCCCTTCCTCTGAGAATAAGGAGGGGTGAGGGGTCCCAAGAGCCAAGGGAGGGATGGGAAATCCCTATGTGCTAGCCAGTATATCCTCAAATATGTCTTCACTGGGCCAGAGAAGGCCAAATGCCCCATCCCAGGGATCACTCCCTGCCCCCAGCCCTCCCCAAAGACCACACATAGATTCTGCTGCTTGCCGGTTTTATTTTCCTTGTGACAGACAGACAGAGAGTTGCACAGACAGCTGGATGGCTGGGGTGGGGGTCAGGACAACATGGGCAATAGGGATTGGATGGAAGGGAAAACTTCATAAGAGGCAATAAATAAATAAATATGAATAGGAATAAGGGTAAAGGCCATGGAGGGGTGGTGGGGACATCCCTGGGCCACCGTGGAGTGCCCAGAGATGCATTGTTGGCACAGGAGGAGATCCAGCTCGAGGGCTCACTAGCTTGCCTCTGGCCCACCCCACTCCCGCTGCACCTGCTCTCCTCTCTCCACCTTGCCACTCTCGCTTAGATCCTGGCTCCCTCCCTGGCACTTTTTCTGTGTCCTGTCCCTGCCTCACTAATACATTGCCAGACTATGGCCCTGCCACCCTGAGCTCCTTCCTCTTCCTCCTCTCCAGCCACTCACCCTCCTGGATTCTCCCTGAGATGCACTGTGCCCCCCTACCCCCTAGAACTTTCCTAAAGTCTCCCCTCCCTATCCCTTGGCAACTTTTCCTTCCTCTTCACTTCCTCCATTCCCTTGTTGCCCCTCATCCTGTTTCCACCCCTGCCCAGCCTAGCCAAGGGTCTCCTGCTCTGGCTCTGGCCAGGGGTAGCATCAGGCCGATGCCCCCGGGCCTCTGTCCCTTCAGGTCCATGAGGTAATAGCCTGGCCAGATGTTGCTGCTGGTGGTGTCCGAAGCCCCAGGCCCACCCGGCTCAGCATGGGCCCTGGAATGTCCCGCGGCATCAGTGGGAACTGAGTCTGAGCCTGAAGATGCCGGGTGTGGTCCATGCCTCTTAAGGGCTGCCTGGGTAGGAGCGGAGCAGCACCTTGTGGCGGGTGGCAGCCTCAGCCCTGCGCCGCTGCTGCTCGCCCAGGAACTCCTTAAGCCGGTTGGTAGTGAAGGTGAGTGTCTGGCGACGTAGCTTCATCAGGTAGGCATCCTGCAGCCACGGATGGGCAAGGCAGTCCTGCAGGGATGGCCGGCTCCTGCCAGGCCAGGCCAGGGACAGTGAGCCCTGACAGGACAGGTGACTCCCCAAGACTCACCACTGGATCCCACACCAGCCAGGATGTGTGTGACACTGGGCATCTATGGGGATTATAAACGTGCACCACCATGCCCAGCTTTTTATGGGCTTTCGATGGTGGGTGGTACCACCGTCCAGTAGATGTAGCAGGAAAAGAGTTGGGGGTCTTTGGCCAGGTGGGGCCAAGACCATCTACAGCCAAGGGCAGGTAATACTGGGGATTGTCAGGTGGGGGCCCACTCACCAGGGATGTACTGAGAGGACCTTTCGCAAGAAGAGGGTGGCACTCTGGGATGTGTTGGGGTACAGCTGGAAGGCATCAAAGCGGCCCCCCACAATCCGAGCCTCTGTTTCCTGGGGGTCTGGCTCATAGAATGGAGAGTGTCCACTGAGCCTGTTGTGGAAGACAGTTCAGCTGACACAGTCCCAGCTGTGCCACTCATGGGATCTCTGCCTCAGTGTGGACTAAGGGTCACCTCGCAGGCCTATGGCACTCCAGTACTCAGGGACAGTGCCCCTGGTGTGTGCTGGGGAGGCTGGGCATGAAGGAGAGGGTATGGGTCGGAAGTGGGAAGAGGGGCTGGAGCAGCCCGGGGAGTACTCACATGATGTAGGTGAGCACACCTGCGCCCCAGATGTCGGTAGCAGAGCCGATGGGTTCTCCCTTCACCATCTCAGGAGCTGAAAAGAGACAGAGGCCAAGCTGGCCCAGCTTCTCAGTGACAGGGGAGCAGGGACAGTGGAGGAAGGGCTTGAAGAGGAGAACAATGCCCAGGTCACTTGACTGTGGGCACAACCAGAGCAGCAGGCCTTGGAGGCTGTTGAGCAGACCAGAAGCAGGGTTGGCTCCCAGGAGGGATGTAGACTGCCTGAGGGATAAGCCTGGCACTGAATGATAGCGTCCCTAGAACTCCAGAGGAGCTGAGAAGCAGGGTGACTGGTTCCCTTGGATGGGCTCCGAAGTGGACTCTCACTCACAAAGGGTATGACCAACATCAAGATTAAGAGTCTTTGAAACAATCCCAGGCCTGCCCCTCTGGCTATGGGACCCTGGACAATTTACTAAACCTGCCTGGCTCTCCACTGTCTCATCTGTAAAGTGAAGTTTGGGAATAGACATGACAAACATCAAATATTTAGCAGGTAGCTAAATGACAGCTGGTTTTCCTTATGTATATAAAACAATAATTGATTCTCCTGTCTTTCCAGCTTTCACAAATCCCGCCTCTTCCATTTATAACTGTCTAATTGGACAAATACTGAACTTTAGTGTGCTTGCTCCCAAATCTATAAAAAGGGGGTAATATTATGCCACACTCCAGCCTTTTGTAAAGATCCACTGGAGGAAAAAAAATCCACATAAAGGACTTGCTGCTTGTATACAGTAAACACACAATAAATGGCACATATGTAGGTGGGATGGGGTGAACTCTGGAGCTGCCCCCATCCCAGACCCTGGCTGGCAGGTGGTCCCCTCACCCATGAACTCCAGGGTGCCTGTGCGGTGGCCAAGAGGCCGCAGAGCCTGGGGGTTGTAGGGCTGAGCACTGCCAAAGTCCACAATCTTGAGGGCGTTGTCAGGGCCCAGAAGCAAGTTATCTGGCTTGATGTCCAGGTGGAGCACATGGTGGCCATGGAGGTAGTCCAGGCCTTGGAGCAGTTGCACCACGTAAGTGGCCACATCGTCTTCGGAATACCGAAATCTGGGGGCGGCAGGGGTCGCAGGTGATATCCCAGCCCTGCCTCCCTCACTGTCCCTCCCTGCAGCCCTGGAATATCTGGTTACCTGTCACTGAGCCCACAGAGGAGTTCCCGGTTGCCGCAGCTCTCAGCGATGAGCACAAGGTACCGTGGGGTGATGTAGGCCTCGTGCAGGGACATGAGCCGCTCGTGGTGCAGTGACCGCAACACTTCATACTCCTGCAGGACGCGCCGCTTGCCCTCAGCTGCGTAGGGCACAATCTTGGCCACAAATGTTCGGCCTGTGGCATTCTCCCTGCACGCTCGCACAACACCAAAGCGGCCCCTGTGTGTGTTGGGGGATACCACAGGCTCAGAAGGGAATGTTTTTGTCTCAAGGGCTCAAGGCATCCTGGGCACAAGCATGCAGTGGCTCCGGTGTGGGCTGCTGAGTTCAGTCCTAGGAACCAAGGTTCCAGTTCCAGCTCTGTGCTCACTGGCTCCCTACCTTAGACAAATCCCATAACCTCCCCAGCCTCAGTTTCCCATCTGAGAAATGGGTGGTAATAATAAGGCAGTGTCTCCCTTTCAGATTAGTGAGAGTATGTGGTTTACAAGCTGTACTGTGCCTGGCCCGTCTGTTCTCCTTCATTCTCAGGCCCTGTATGTGTACCACAACCCCCCAGCCTGGCCCTGGCCAGGACAGTCTGCTCTGCTCTCCGCATCCCTGCCTTCTGCACACTCCACCCACTCCCCAGTTCTTCTCCTCCCCAGCCCTACTCGCCTGGCCTTCTCTTCCAGGAAGGTGTAGGGTTTCTGAGGGAGGCCCTGGCGAAGAGTGGTGTCCTCAGGCACGGGGGAGCTGACCTTCTCCTTGGCAGGGCTGAGGCTTCGCACTATCACCTTGGTGGGCTCAGGAGGGGGCTCAGGGGCTGGGGGTTCAGGGACTGGGGGTGCAGACACAAAGGAAGTCACCATGTACAGGGGAGTAGAAGAAGCTGGTTTAACTCCTTGAGGGGTGGAGGCTGGGGTTGGGGTCCCAGTGTCAGAAGTGAAAGACTTGGGCTGTCTCAGGGTGACCTGGGCACTGGGTGGGGTGGGCTGTGCTTGCTGAGCAGCCTGAAGACCCCTGTGCTTTCGTGGGGGTGTTTGGGGTGCTGGACCTACAGCCTTAAGTGAGGACAAGGCCTGGCTAGGGACTGTTGGGGGAGATGAAGGGCTGAGAGCGGCTGACTGGGGGGCTGGAGAAGTAGGAGTTGGGATCGAGGCCAGTGAGGTAGGAGAGCCAGGCGGTGCCCTGGCTGGCCCTGAGGTAACAGGGGCATCTTTGTAAGCAGCAGATGGCCGGGCTGAAGACTCTAAGGAGAGATGAAGGAAACAATCACCATGTGTCCTGGAGCAAAGCCGTAATGCTCCAGGAGGACCCCTTTCTGATCCTGCCACCCTCACCTACTGTCCACTGACCTTGGATGCCCCTGACAAAGACCTTCTCAGAAGGATTGCTGAAGGGCCCCTGCCCAGCACGGTTGACACACGCCACACGGAACCTCACAGTCACACCAACAGGCAGGTCCATCACGTTGTAGTAACAGTCAGGGATGCCTGAGCTCACCGGGTGCCAGGCAGACTCCCCTGTGGGTAGCATGGGGTTGAGGCTGAGAACACAGAAGGGGTGACCCAAGCTCCTGATACTGTCTGTGAAGAGCCCAGGGAAGGGGCCTCTATCCAAGGAGGACACTTGTCTTCCCAGTTCCACTACGCACCACCTGCCACCACCATCCACCACCCTGCCCTGTTCCTCACCATCCACCCGCCGCTCCAGTGTATATGTGCAAGGTGCCCGGCTGTCTCCTGGCTTCCACAACACCAGTGCAGTATCCTGGTAGGTCTGGGGCACCTCAGGAGGAGCTAGCTTTCCTGGAACACCTGGCAAAAGGAGGAGAGACCCAGGATAGCCTGGTAAGGACCCTCCGAATCCTGCCCCACAATCTCCATCACTACTCCCTTGGGCTCTGCCCCAGGCTCACGGGCCACGGCCACGGTGCAGGAGCTCGTGATGCTGCCAAGGATGTTGGTGGCTGAACACTCATAGAGCCCAGCGTGCCGCTTTCCCGCCCGGGGTATACTCAGCAGCTGCCGTCCGTCTTTGCAGGACACGATGACCACCGAAGGCTCTGATCGCAGGGACTGCTTGTCTGGGCACAGGGAGGAAGAGGAGGGGCTGATAGGTGATGCAGCACATATCCAGGTCCCCCTCATCTGCCCTATACCCCAAGTGCCTGCACTTGGGGCCGCTTGCCACCCCCTTGTCTGTGGATGACATCATCTCCTTACCTTTCATCCAGGAGATGCGGGGTGCAGGGCAGGCTGCGGGCAGGCAGAGCAGGGTGGCTGCCTCCCCCTCCAACAGCACCTGGTCCTTGAGTTTGATATGGAAGACTGGAGGGAAGTCTGGAGGGACAGCAGAGACAGCCATCTGTATGGAGACCCTGGCCATGCGCTGCTGAGGGAGGGGCAGGTGTGCAGGAGCCTTGGGGAGCAGAGTGTGGCTGGCCTCGTCCCAGCCAGATGTCAGGGAGGACACTATGCCTTTGAGAATGTTCACTGGACCCAGCATCACTTTCCCTAAGCCCCCAGCATGTGTAGAAGTGTCTTTTCCTTGCACTGATTATTGAAGATGCTTGCTACATAACTCATGTTTGTAAATCACATACAGCAGGCTCTGTAAGTGCTCTACAAGGATTTGTTAAAATAAAAACAAAGACTGAAAAACAGTAACAGTTAATATTCTGCAGTATCCACTCCCTCTGGGCTACTAGAGGGCAAGAGACAAGGGAAAGGAAATAGCTGAGGGCAGCTCCCAGCTCCTGGCAGTGTTCCTGCCTCCCTGCCAGTCTTTCCACTGGGGGCCCAGGGGAGGGTCCTAGACATTCCATGTACTCTTCAGATGAACTAAGTGAGGAAAGCTTTTGACAGGGCAAGGAACAGTACCTACATGACCTTGGGTGAGTCGTTTCCCCTCTGAGAAACTCCATTTCTTATATAAACTGAAGAAAATAATAATACCAAGCACAGAGAGTTGCTGTGAGAATTTAAAAAGGCATGTGAAGTGCTTAGCATGTATCCAACATAAAATAAGCCCTCATAAACATTAGCTCTTACTGTGATTATTACTGGCATCTCATTAATTCGCCCAGCAGAGAAGCCACAAGCAGAACCTAGAAAAAGGCTGCTTCAATAAAGGGGAGAAGCCACATCACCACTGGCTGGTGGCCTTGCCCTATGGAAGGGCTGGGGTCCAAGATCTGTGCTCCAGCACAGCTGGCCTGTGGCTCCTTGATGCCATGAGGAATTCAAGTTTGTGATTCCTGGAAGGCACCTTTAGAAAAATCCCAATCTGGTCTGTCTCCAGGGGGTAGGAAGGTTTTTTTCTTTTTTCACCTGGGCAAAGAAGGAAGACCTCTGGGAGTCCGCTACCGCCTGCCCAGTGCCTGGAGGGAATGGGAGTGGGGATGAGCTGGGCAGGAACTACACAGCAGGAGTGGGAGATCAGGACAGCAGCATGTCCCCTCCTCCACTGTGCCCTCTTGTTTCCTGAAGAGGCATCCCCCTCAGAGGCTCCCATGCAGTGTAGACAGTCTCATCACTGGCTGCCCCAGTGAGGGTGCCGGGCAGGGGGCAGAGAGGGAGATCAGGAGAGGTGACCCGACCCAGCCCAGCCCTTCCAGCCCCACCCCCACTCCCATGGGGCCAGCCCTAGTTGGTCAAGTGGACACACAGGACAGGCTTCTTCCTACAGGAAGAAGATGAGGTCACTCACATTGATCAGCAGGAAATCAGCTGTACTAGCAAAACTGAGTTCCTTCGGGAGTGAGGCCCCAGGTGGGAAGGGATCAGCTGTCCCCAGGCCTCTCTGCTGGATGTTGTCCTTCCCTCCCCCACCAGCTGCCTCCCTCCCTCCCTGTCACACTCACTGTAGCCCTACAGCCCTGGACAAGGCTGGATCACAGTCTCCTCCAGCCCAGTTGAGAAGGCTAGACCAACTGTGAGCATCTTAACCAGGGACTGGGGAAGAATAGAGCTGCTGGCTTCCAAAAAGGGGGAATGCAGCCTTGCTTGGTGGCCAGCTCCTGTCCTTCCTTCTGGTCTTGGGAATCTGGCCTCCCAAGCCCTGTAGTAATGTTTCTTTTGGGGTAAAATGGCCTCAGGTGGAGAATGCCTCCCTCCCTGCAGCCCCAAGACACTTGGACATGAAACAGATGCCCCAAAGAGCCCTTTTCCTAGCAAATGTACTTTCTGTGGGGAGAAAGGAGACCAGGAGAGGCAGTTGGGTATTCAGGGCTATAGAGAAATAGAGAACTGGGTCGTGGTCTAGGCCAGGAAGCAAAGTCTGTCTTTGGGTGTACACAGAAGCACACATGCCTCAAGAGGAAGAGGAAAAGGAAAACGATTTTTCCTGGAGATTGCACTGACCTAGCATACACCCTCCTTACTCTCATTTTCAGAGACAAGGTCATGTTAAGTCACTAAGTTGCCCAGGTTGGGCTTGAGTTTGTTATATTCCTGCCTCAGCCTCCTAGAGTGCTGGGAGGATTATGGGCATGTGCCACCACACCTGGCTAAGAGGAACGTGATCTTGAGCTTCTTCAAAACTATACCCAGACCCAGAAACCTTCTAGAGTCACCTATGAGAGATGAGGCCAGTCCAAAAACCCCTAAGTACAGGGCCCTGGTTGCAGAAGGCCACACAGTCCAACTCCAGCTGCTCCACTCACCAGCTCTGCAACTTAAACAAGCTACTTAGCATCACATCACTAAGCCTGTTTTCTCACCTGTAAAATGACCATAATCACTGCTAAATAATGCTACAGGACTGAATGAGACAAAGCTCGTAAAATGCTTAATAGGACCCTTGGCTTTGCTAATTAATGGCAGCTGTTTTGATGATTACGGCTGTTTCCCCGATTCTAGGCCCGTGCCAGGGCTGCCCAGGTTCCTGCAGGTGGCCCATGTCCAGTCAGCTAAGACTAGGACAGGGAAGTGCTCAGACCACCTCTTACCTGACTCACTGGGCACATACTGGTGACCCAAGTCCTCTTGGACACTGGCAGAGAGGTTTGGTTGAGATAAGCCCTTGTCCTTCCGCAGGCGCGAGAAGCCCCAGCGGAGCCGGCTTCGGCTTTCCCCTGCAGCTGTGGAGAGCCAACCCATGAGTGTTTCCCCCAGACAGTGCCAGGCAGTGCCAAGCTCCTGCCTCTTCTCCCAGCAGCCCTTAGCCCAAAGAAGTAGGAAAGAACATACGGCCCCTCTCCTGCCCGGCTCATCCCAGACTCTGCCTCTCTGCCTCTCTCCCTCCAGCCAATTCTCCCCTTAGGATCTCTAACCTCCAGCCCCCTGTTCCTCCCAGAGCTCCTCCACAGGGCACCCCACCATCTTCCACTCCCTGCTTCTGCCATCCTATTCCAGATTCCGCCTCACCTGAGGACCCAGAGGTAGCGCTGGCCTCAGAGCCCAGAGACTCCGCGGAAGGAGTGGCTGCACCGGCCTGAGAAGCCAACTGGTTGTGCGGAATGCCCAGGCGTCGTAAGCTCTCGCCCTCCGACGTGGCCCTTCGCAGCCGTCCGAAGAGCGGCGTACTACGACCCGAGCCACCCCCAGAGTCCTCACTGCTGCCAGTGCGCTGCAGCCGGCTGGACAGCCGCTCCAACGTGGAGCTGAGCC